GTGTTGTGCACAACACATTTTGGGATTATTTTCGTTGTTGAGGATTTTTTCCCCCCCGTTCCCTCTCTTTTTCTCCTCCTCTCCAGCATTTGTTATCCACACTTGGGCTTTTGTCACCAAGTCCTGCCTTGAACAGCTATTACAGTCTTCAGCTTGTCATCTCCTGAGCAGCGAGGCCAAGTTAACAATCCATGGTGCCCTCCCTCTGCCCCACCCTCCACACACTGCTGGAAACATCGTCTGCTGCCTTCTCTGTACCCCCTAAACATCTCCTGCTGACTTTTGGGGTAATGGCTGCTGTTGTTCCAGAAGGAAAGCGGGTGGTGAGAGATTGTTTTTCCAAGACCTACTTATATCCCTTGGTAGCATCTCTCCAGCTCTGATAAGGTATTTAGAATCAGAGAAGGATCCTCACACCATACAAAGCCCAGCACCAGCAGCGAAGGCTTGTGACCTTCCTGGCAGGGCGTGGAGGTGTGACATGACACCGTGTCCATGCCAATGACTCCTGTCACCCTCTTTGTGTGCTGCTGGAGGATCCCTCCTGGATCCCTGTCTGGTGCCACAGACAGCCCGGCTGAGTGTCCTGTTCCTCCCACATGCCCGCCTCCACCTGCAACAATCCTCCTTGTGCTCCATCCTCACCTGGCCCTGGGCTTTGCCGAGTGTGTCAGTGTGTGAGCAACCCCTTCCCGCGTGGCTGACGGCCCTGGGAGCACAGGCGCTGCGGCACGGGGACGCTGCTGGCTTTGGATGTCCCCCCTGCAAGCCTCCCGCTCCTCAGTCCACCCTAGCAGAGGCTGCTCCTGCCTCCCTGCACACCCCAAAAGACTCAGCTGGGTTTTTACTCCTTCTGGCTGTGAGTGAAGGATCTCCCTGCAACCCAGGAGGCCCTTTGGGACCTGGCAGCCTAAAAAGCAGAGCTGAAGTCTGACCGAGAGCCCGGGCACGCTGCACAAACCCAATCCTTCCTCTGGCAAACGGCCACCAGCATTTCTAGGATCCTGGAGGGTCGGGCTGAGCTGTCGGCTGGGAAACATTTTCTCCTCCTGCCCAGCCTGACCCTCCCCTGGGGCAGTTTCCAGCCGTTCCCTCTTGTCCTGTCCCTGATCCCCTGGGAGCAGAGCCCAGCCCCAGCCTCTCTGCAATGTCCTGTCAGGAGCTGCAGAGAGGGATGAGGGCTCCCCTCAGCCTCCTCCTCCTCACACTGAACACCCCCAGCTCCTTCCCTGGCTCCTCACAGGATTTATTCTCCAGCCCCTCCCCAGCCTCATTGCCCTCCTCTGCCCTCGCTCCAGCCCCCCGAGATCTCTCTGGGATTGAGGTGCCCAAACCTGGACACAACCCTCCAGGTGTGGCCTCACCAGTCAGAGCACAGGGGGACTGTCACCTCCCTGCTCCTGCTGGTCACACTAGTGCTGATACAAGCCAGGAGGCCATTGGCTTTCTTGGCCTCCCGGGCACACTGCTGGCTCATGGTCAGCTGATGGCCACAGGTGGCGAAACCCCACTCTCCGCACAATCCTGGCCCCAAAACTCACACAGGACTTTGCCAACTGTTTGACCCTTGAGAATTCAGGCTGATGGGCAACAATGGAACCCCTGGGACAGCTTCAGCTGTGGACACAGCCCCAGGACAACAGAACTCACACCCTCAGCCTGGGCATCTGGAGCAGACCAGGAATGAGCCACAAGACTGCCCACCAGTAACACACTGCTGGGCAGCAACATCCCCTGAAACACCCTGACAGGGGAGATTTGTGGTGCTGATCTTGCAGGCACACAGCGAGTCATAGTGCCTGCTGGAGGCAAACAGAGAAGTAGCCACAGCGACCGCTTCAATCAGCAAAAGTAAGAAACCCGAGGCAGGACAGAAATGAATGGCAGGGATCAGGCATCTGCTGGGATGCTGGGGCAGGACTGGGCCCAGGAGAGTCAGAAGCCGAAGCCAGCAAGGACAGATTCAGAGCACCAGCACCATGGTGCAGCACCACGGCCTCTCTCTGCTGGCAGAGCCCATGTGCCAGGATCAGGGGACAGTGATCATGGCGAGATAAGAGATGTGCTCCCACCACTGCAGCCTGGAGCGTGGGGACCCTCCTTGTCCAACCTGATGGATGTGTGGCTCGCCTGGAGGGGCAGCTCAGGACCTGGAGGTGAGGCATGGCACAAGGGCAAGGGCAGAGTGAGCTGGGTGTTGGATGGGGAAAGCCAGATCTAGCTCAAACTTCTGGCTGCCCCTGTCTTCCAGGTCAAGCCCAGCGGAGCTGCAAGCCAAGGCGCGGACACTCCTTACCAAAATGCACTTCCCTGGCTCCAGGCTCCAGAGGGAACTCTCCGTGTTGATCTTGTGGGTGAGTTTCCCTTCCATCAGGACATGCTGGCTGCTCCCCTCCAGCACTGCTACGCGAATCGTGCCGCTGCTGATATCCACTGACACCTGGAAACACAGAGAGAGAGAAAATAATCAGGAAGGTTCCTGTTGCCCTTTTCCTATGCTAGTTGGGGTGTGGGGTCAAGTGCACTTGCTGGGGATGAGAGAGAGAGAAGAGCTTTCAGACCTGCATGTAGCAGGAGGGTGGGAATCCCGCTGTCACTGCAGAGCAAATAGCAACAGATTGGAGGAGAAATGAAACCTCTAGAGAAAAAAAAAAAAAGGCAGCAGGGCCCAGCAGACGGAGCCCCAGAAGAGTTCAAGGCAGCTGGTTCTGCCACTGCAACCGCCCCGTGCCTCAGTTTCCCTGCAGAGAAACCCAGCAATGCCACAGGCCTCCTCTACAGAGCACCCAAAGGTTGGACACACACGTGCTGCGACCAAGCTCTTTAAGGAGCACAGAGGGTGCCCAGCCATCCCGGCGATGAGCTGAGCATGGCTGTGTGTGTCTTCCTGGGGGGCGAGTGCTTCCCTGCGGAGAGGGAGCAATTTGGGGATTTCTACACCAGGAAAGGCTGCAGTCCTGCTGCACTGCACCGAAAGCACACTCCTTGGCTCTGCTTCTGCTGCCAGAGCCAGCTCTGGGTTCAGCCCAGGCCTCCCGTCGGGCGTGCGAGGAGGGGCCGCGTGCGGGAGGGCCGCTGCGGCATGGCTCCCCTTCTCCCCACCACGGGGCGAGGGGACGAGGCAGCCCCATCCCCCGGGAAGGGGGCCAGCCCCCACCTGCAGCAGCCATATGGGGAGCCCTGCTTCGACCTGCCGCGGAGGTGACATGGCTCTCTCCCGGGGAGGCAGAGGCAGGCTGCAACTTTGCTGCGCAGCACATAGTACCCTCGGTCTCCAGAGAGACCATATGCTCTCTCCTTTCCCCTTTGGCCCTGAGCTGCTGCCAGCAGAGAGCCCGAGACAGGCCGGAGGACTAAGGGAAGACCTGGCTGGGAAGAGGCAGGTTTGTGGTCCCCAGCGTTGCCCTGTCTCTGGCCCGAGAGGAGGAGACTGCAGTGAGATTTGCCTGCATTCTCTCCCAGAGTTCCCCCAGATCTTCCTCCCGCTCTGCAGATCTCATTTGAAATGTTATTACATTATCCATTACCTAGGAGATTTCCAGCGGCTCACTAGCTCCACGCAGGCAACAGACAGGCAAAGCTGCTCCAGCCAGGGAGGGCACCACGGCTGCATCAAATTGATGCCACCCAGATAAAGCCCCCAAACCCGCTGCGTGTGACAGGGAGCTGTCAGGGCTTCGACAGGAGCAAAGAAAGCCCAGCAGACACACCGCAGGGGGACACCAGGACTGAGCTCCAATGCCGACGGCTGGGAGCAGCACTGCAGTCACAGGGGCTTAGGGAAGGGATGTGAGCTGCGTCTCTGCCAGACAGGAGAGGAGAGAGACCTGGCTTTCACTTGGCATGTGGCTGCAGACAGCCTCTGAGAAAGCAGCTCCTCCTGGATGGGAAATATCTCTGAAGAGGCTGCAGCACCAGGCAGCTTCCTCCAGCCCCGAGCTGAAGCCTCACTGCAAGGACAAGATGCAGGGATGAGGCTCTGCTCTCTGCCACCACTGACTGTCCTGGTCCCCAGCACAGGGCCTGCCCAGAAAGGATCAAGGGGAAAAAAGCAAGGTGACTCCCAAGTCGCCTTCTGGGGGGGCTTCTCTGGGGTGCGGAGGGCCAGGAAGGCTGGACATATGGAAGGCACAGATGCAGCACTGCAGCTGTGGGATCCACAGGGAGAGGAGCAATCAAATGTGAGAGGGGTTTTATTCCAAGGTGGCTGCACAGGACAGGTGGTGGGGCTAAGGGACATCTTTGAGGTGGCTCTGGGACCAGCAGGGCATTAGAAGAAGGAGCGGAGAAACCCAAATGGAAGAAGAGATCCAAACCAGGCAGCCTTAACTCAGCCACTCCACTGCGCAACCATCCAGCGCCAGAAGCAGTTGCAACACTCGCTTCTAACCTGCAGCCAGCAAAACGGCCCCTCACCCAGGCAGTGACAGGGAATGGGAGCAAAGGACACACCGCTGGAGAGCCCTGACCCCACCTTGTGTGAAGAGAAATGTCTGAGAGGACTGATGTGTGCATGTGGTGGTGCCTGGAGAACACAGGGTTTGGTGCACATGGGCAGCGAGTCCTTCTGAGGTGCCTTGGTGGAAAAATTGCCTCTACTCAGTTTCCCCACTCTGCCTGGGAGGGTGGCCGGGCTCTCTGAGGGGCTGCCCTTCCTCCCTCCACCCTGCGCTGTCCAAACCATCCTGCTGTGCTGCGCTCAGGGAATGCAAGGTCGGCAAAGCCGGGCTTTGCCAGAACCAGGCATGGCCAGCTCGCCCCAACCCCAGGCAGGGGCTGGGGGGAAGCCAAGGGCAATCCCTGGGCAAACACCATCCCAGCAGCACAGCCACGAGCAGGGGCTCCCCAGAGGCTCTGAGGCTGCTCATCCCCTACCACATGCTCCCCACCAGCACCTCTCTGGTCCCCCAAATGCTTGCCTTTGCCGGCGCTCGGGAGGAAACTCAGCTCGCAGCTCTCTGCCATGGCTTTTCCACCACAGTAATTTCTGTGCACACTAGAACGCCCACACCCGCCCCCGCAAATCAAACAAGCAAACACAAACCTATGAAGGAATCTAGCTCGTCTCCTCCGAGCCAGGCAAAAAGAGAGGTTTGTTGTCATTATCTCTATTTAAGTGCTCGGGAAGCGCTTGGATCCATGGGCCCCTGTTGCGCCTGTAAGTAGATCAGAGAGGTGGAGAGCGCAGAGAAAGATGCTCCCACCTACCCCATCACCCATTCCTGCTCCACGGACACTTCTCTGGAGCTCCATACAAGGAAACCTTAAGCTCACCCGAGTGAAAATGTGCCATAGCAACAGCCTGAATCCAAAAAATTGTCATAAGGAAGATTTTGAGCAGCATTAGAGCTGGGTGCACTCTGAGCCCGGGGACCAAACAGGAGATTTTTAATCTTGCCTTGGCAGGCAGAAGCCAAAAACCTGGTAATTTTTAAAAAAGATGAAACTGTGTGGTGAATGTAGGGGAATGCTTCTCTTTTGCAGGAACCCATCAATAATGCATCCAAAGTCCATTGAGCTTTAAAATGGCTCTGAACCATCCTGCTTTGGCCCGTGACCCAGTCTATCCACTTCCAGTCCCCTGAGACTGAAAGAGATTTAAAGAATCACTTTAAAGTGAAAACTCGGCTGCCAAGAGGAGCCCCAGGAGGGATGTACGAACCAAACACCAGGAGACGCAGAGCAAGGATAAGGGAAGTCCAATATCTGAACAATCGATTGCCCCAAGAGGGCAGCGCAGGTAGAAACCGGGGCCAGGGCAGGCAGAGATGCGCCACAGGCAAATGCGTGGGAAGGAGCTGCCTGGATCATGACCCCCACGGACACGCAGGGGCTCTTCTGCAGCCATGGCACAGTCTCAAGACAAGGAAAGGTCAGAAAAGCGCATCCTGTCCCTGCTCCTCCGAGAGCCTGCAAGGACCTTACAAGTCCGGGTGGCAAAGGATGGGGTAGACAAAGCCTGATGCTCTTTTTTTTGGCAAGAAGAAAACTCCCCTGGCACAAAGGGCACTTCCCTGGGCTGGGAGAGGCATCGTGATGGCAATGTGATGCAGAAGGATGGAACATCCGTCTGGACGCCCCCGAAACCTTCCAAGAAACAGCCTGGGTTTGTTTTAGAAACCCACTGGGAGAGATGCATCTCCTGGTCTCCCTGCTGTCCCCATGGCAGCCGTTTGCTCCCTCACCCCTCTGGTCTGGGTTGCTGTTGCCAATTACACTCTTCTGGCATGATCAGGAGCTGTGTAGGCTGGAGCCGGTGAACAAACCCAAGCATGCTCATTTCAGCCACCCTGGAAGCAGAGAAGAACGGGAGGTGGGGGAGCGTGGACTTCCCAAATGGAAAAATACAGTATCAGCCATAGGGAGGACAGCACTCCGGAAAGACAGAGTTCAAACTTCTGGGTCCAACTAACGCCTGCCATGGGAACACTCCTCTTGAGTCCCTCGCTGGGAGGCAACAGAAGTGGCGAAGGAAAAACAATGTGACCATGAATAGAGAAGCAAAGTTCCTGCCTGAGCCAAGGAGGGAGGTGAGACCTCCCTGCCTATGCAGGCAGCCCAGGAAAGGGTCTGGCCGCTCAGCTGCACGCCAGCCCCAGATCCCTTCAGGTCAAGTCTCCCACGGGCTGTGCCTGTCCCAGTTCCCGAGTGCCAGAGGAGCTGTTCCAGCAGCTCCCACTTGGAAACAAAAGGCAGGAGATACTCCAAGCCAGAGGGAGCGACCAGAGAAGGAGCGTCCATCCCCAGGCAGGCTCAGAAACCCATACGTGTGTTTGCAGTCAGTGGAAGTGGAGAAAGCGCAAAAAGTGCCATGAGATGCCAGAGAACCCACCAGAGCTGGAGCAACTGGACACTGCATGAGCTGGGCCAGGCTGGGACCATCGGTCCCCACCAGCCACACACCCAGCACCAGAGAAAGAAGGCATAACTGCATCCTGCTCCTTTACAAAGGACAAGGAGCCCTCCTGCTCCCAACACAGCTTCCTGGGAAAGCTGGGCAACCCGAGGGAAAAGGAAATGCTGAAAGACAACACCACGAACACCACTTTACCTGTTTGCCTTTTACGATGTGCTTGGGCACAGGCACTTTAATCTCCAGGTCGCTGTAGTCTTGTGACCAGGCATAATTCTCTCGTACAGCTCCGTTGTAGCTGTCGGGGTTTGTCTGGAACTGCTCCTGTCTCCTGAGGAGGAAGAAAGGGATAACATGCTAAGTGTCGGACAGATCAGAGCCTGGAGAGAGCAGGAAACTTGAGAGCAGGGTACAAGAAGCAGAAAGGGAGGGCAGAGCCTCTGCTCAGCCATCCTGTGAACATCCCCAACACTTCAGGCTGATGCTCAGTCTCTCCCTCAGTGATGGCCTGTCCAGGAAGGGAGAAGATTCAGGTCAGCAGCCCCAGGACACAGAGAGACCCCAGTCACTCTGCCCACTGTGGACAACCCACACACCCTTCCCCACAGTGTGCTGCAATGCCAGTCAGGCTGCTAACAGGACAACTGGTGCCACACACGATAATTTGGCTGCCCAAATTACATAGAGCTGAACCCTGGCTGGTTCAAGGCGTCTTCCCAGCTAAGTCCGCACAAGCACAGATCTCCCCTTCCCCTTCCCCTCCTTGCTGTGTCCACCACACTTGTCATGGCTGGAGCATGGGACACCGTCAAGTGCCAGAGGGTGTGTGCTGCCTCCTGAGTCACTGCCATGGCTGCAGAGGTGGTGGCCCATCACTGTGACCTGGGTTCACCACAGAAAAACAGAGCTGGTTGTCCTCCTCCCGATTTTACTGTGTTTTAGAAAACCATCAGCTCTTGTGACTGGGGCTGTTAATGACACAGAGGTGGACGCCTGAGGAGCCAGCTTGGCGTGGCCCTGCGAGGGGGCAACTGGACGAGTGCATCATGAGTAACACTTTGAGCAAAACACTGCCACTCCCCGCTGCAGAAATCTCAGAAGGATGAGGAGGCGGCTCTGAGGGTAGGATAGGTTTTATCAAACCAATAAGCAATAATCAATATAGTGTTTCCAGCCAAGAATGGAGATCTCCATCACACTCATGGCCCTTTAAACTGCTAGCAGGCTGAGGATCTCTTCCACTGAAACCTCCCAGAGAGGGCTTTCAAATAAAATCAAATCTTTCCTAAAGATAGCTGTGGTGCTAACAAAAGGCAGAGTTATTTTAAAATGTTTTGATACGCACCTAGTCTTCAATCTGGAGCTGTATAAACATGGGGCTGCAGTGAGTTACGTAAGGGGGGGGGGGCCAGTGACGAGTGGCCCCGGGGGGCAGCTGGCCCTGGGGACCACGTCTCCCCACACCCCGTTGTCTTCTCAACACCCCCACACTGAGGGGCCTTGCCAGTACTGGGCGGGGGTGGCTTCCAGCAGCGCGGTGCCCTGAGGATTATGTAAGATCCATCGATTTTAATTAAATTAGGCTCTAAGACAGTCAGAGGGTGTTGTCAGAGGCGTCTAACGAGGCTGAGGCCTGTGTTCATCACCTCAAATCCTCATTTGCTCAAGAGCAGACAGTTAAATTTACCAAGGCCTTCATGAGTTTCTCCTGTCATTTGGTTTTGGGGCACAAAGTCACCTCATTAGTTTCATATCTGAGGATTTTGAATGTCAGAAGCTGAGCTAGAGCAGGGATTGGTGGTGGTGGCTTGCGTGAAGGGCTGAGGGGTTCGGGCTGGCTGTTAGGTAAAATGAGCAGGGAAGCGGTGGTGCCAGTCCCCGCACCCCCAGGACGAGTGGCCACGGCTGGTGGGAGGTTTAGGCACGAGGGGAAACTTCTCCCTGTTGAAGTAAGCTGAGTGTGGGGATGGTTTGGCTGGGACATGTGTCACCTGGCCAGGGTGGGAGGGCCGTGAGGACGAGGTAGCAGGGGCAGAGATCATCCCAACAGGCTGTGTGTGGAGGCAGAGGTGGCTGTGAAACATCCCTTCGTCACTGCACGTGCTGCTCGTCATGGCACAGAGAGAGTGAGGACAGAGCCATCCTGCGGGGAACAGTCAGGGCTGGGAGGAAGACTGCTTGTTCAGTAACGATGCCATGCAAAGAGAAGTTTGACAGAGTCATTGCAGAGCAAATCCTGCCTCAGTTTCCCTGTGGAAGTAACCTAAATGACGCTGACATCTCTCAGGGCTTCCCTGAAGCCACTTGTGCCCTCACATGACAGTGAAATCATGCTCAGTGAGCTCTTGGGAGGGCTAAAAGACACAGGACATGCATGGCTGGGGTGTGCTCAGCCCCAGCACTTTCCTCCCGAGGAGGAGTCACAACAAGGACAGACCTGGTGGCTCTGTGGCAGTGAGCGGCTGCCCTGGGCTTGTATTTATTTGTGCTGTAGCCGTGAGGCATTTGCAGCTGGCATCTTACCCACACTTGCCTTTGCACTGATGGGTCTTTGATGCTCTGCTTCTGCTCTAACAGGCCTTGGCCTGGGCTTGGTACCTTCCCCTTTAGCCTTCGAGCTTTTCCCAGGGAAGGCTGAGGGGGGACCAGCCTGGAAGTAAATAGCCATGTGCTGGTTCTTGTCTGGTTCTTTGCTCACTCTCAGGGAGCTGGTGACACTTGAGATGGCAACTCCCAGCCAACATGCCTTCCCTCAG